TCGTCTCCTCCCCAGCCCCTTCTTTCCAGGGGAAACTGCCCAGAAGCTGCTAGCTAACGCTGGTGTGTGTTGCCCAGCTCCAGGACCACTGGGCATAGATGTTTAAGCAAACATGGGATAAATCTGCATTAAGCTCCTGCTAATACTAGCGTTTTGGAAGGTGTTTTAAAGGCTTTCCTCAGTGGTAGCTTGAAGAAGACATGTTAACCCACTCGGTTGATTGTGGTGGGACTGTCCCTGTGCAGTTCTGAGCCCAAAGGTTTTGCCGAAGAGGAGAAAAAGATACCAGAAAGGAAAGAAAATACTTGCCTGGAAAACTTGAAAGGGCATCTGGGAGCTCAGCTGTGGCTACCTGGCTCCTGGAGTCAAAGCCAACACCCTGGGGGAGCAGGTTGTCCACCTTCCTCGGGACTTGAGAACTGAATGCTCTTCAGGTTGGCCAGCAGCCCGACTCCCTGCGTCGCACGTGCCGCACAGATGATTTTGGAGGCTGGAGGCTCCAAGGCGGAGTTGGGTTGTGGAGTTGTAGCAGGGGGAAGAGTGAGAAATGAAGGGAGGAGTTCAGGGAAGCGAAACCAGGAGGAAGCCTGGAATGTAAGAGCATCCAGCTTAAGCAGAGGGGTTTCATGTGGCACGCAAGACCTCTCTTTCCTGGGGAGATTTCTTTAAAAACCAGCTCTAGGAGAGCACAGTACATCCTCAGAACGAGTGATCCCCTCTTTACCTGAAGGCAGGCTGGCTATTTGGGATTTTCCCCTGTATCCTTTCCACTAAGCTTCCGAAGGAGGGTTTGCTGGCATTGGCCCTTCTATCACCCGTTTGCCTTAATGCAGTCACATAGGTTTTTTAATCGGTTCCTACGGCTTTTCGCAAGCGTTACGCTTTGCAACGGGGCACATCAAAACGATAGCCGTTTGTGTCAGGGATTATTGCAATTGCGGACAGCACGTGATGCGCGGGGGCTTTCTGTGGATGTTGGGGTGTAGCGTTATGGACGTTTGAGTGCAGAACAAGTAGGATGCACCATAAAAAGACAAGGGGGCTATTGAGGAGACCGGTGACTGTAATTTATGGCAGTAATATCTACCAACGGTTGATGGCAGAGATCTCATGGCCTGGTTTTCATCCAGGCTATCAAAATCCTTCATGTCCGCTGTCAGGTAGCCAGCAAATTCATTGCGTCTCCTGGACGCCCCGCTAGCACCCGGCGGGGTGACGCGTGACTCTCGCACGCAGGTAGTGAAGGAGCGGCTGCTGTGCCACGCCATCGTGGGGAGCAAGGCAGGGAAGGCACAGATAATGCGAGTGGACGTCACGTGCGAGTTCGTTGCTCCTGTCCTGCAAATGTCCTCCAGAGAAATCACTTTCCGGGTGGAGAAGGTAAGTCTCTGGGTTGTATCCTGGCACTTAATAGCGTGGCTGATGACTGAAAGCCCATGGTGGGGCGCGATCGTCTTCAAAGGAGGAAGTTAAATATCTTCTCCAAGTCCTTGAGGCTTTGGCTATTGATTTGAGTGGGACAAAGCTATTGTTATTAACACCGAGATCGTTATTTTGCTCTTCTGGGGTCGGGGACAGTCTCACCAGCTCTGTTCTGCCTTTTGGGAGGCGGAGCCAGGATTGAGCTGCTGAGCCAAGGGCACAGGGTGAGATGCGTGGGACCCACGGGAGCAGCGTGGGCTTTGTGCGGCAAAGAGAGAGCAGATCGGCGCGGCTGAGCGATGCTGAACCCCCCTCCTCACCCCCCGTGAGGCGCTTTGTAAAGTAACTGAGGAGGGTTTTAGAGATGGGACGGTTTAATTTCACCGAAGTAGAATGGAAATTACAGCTGCTTTGCCGAGGGGGATCACGGCCACTTCTAGAGAGATGCCAGTTTCTGTACTCGGTATAAAGTCAGGGTCTTGAGGGTCCTCCAAGGCGTGGTGAAGTCTGAACACTGATCCTGTAGGGAACCTGAGAAAAACTGAGATTACCGTCAACTCCTCAGGCTAATGAGGGAAACCCCGTTGTCTCTTGCTTCTCTTTGCCTTCTCTGCTGTTCGTATGGATGCTCTTTGCATTTCCCCAAGCCTCACCTTCTTCAAAAGGCCTGCAGACATCCTTCAGCTGCAGCGATGATAACACCAACGCAAAGCAGGTGCCCTTTAGTCTCTGGACCCTGACTCCTGCATCACTTTTCCCTCTCCTGTGAGGTGTCTGAACAAAAGAGAAGGTATTTCATTATTTAGTTTCTGTGTTCTCAGGTCTCTCCTCTGGTTTCCAGGCTTCCAGAGAAGCACAAAATGCTACGAGCAGGTGGTTCGGATTTAATTAGGAGCTTTTTGGTTCTCCCTGACGTCTGCCTGTGGTCTACGTGATGCCACACGCTCCCATTTATCGAGTGCTACGACGCTGCAGCTGCTTGACATCAATACATCCCGAACTAGTTTCCCCAACACTGTCTAGTTTATATAAACCATGCAGGAAGCCCAGAGCGATGCAGGAAGAAATAGCTTAGCTTGGAGGCTGCAGACACCTTGTTGCGGTAGCAGGGACAGCAGGAGACACGTTGCAACCCAACGGCTGAGGTTTCTAGCTGGCTTTATGTGCACATAAATGTTCAAAGCTAACCTTAAGCTACTGCAGGCTCTCCGCTACGGGCTAAATCCTGCTTGGTTTTTCTCCTCGTTGCTTTTTATGAGGTTACTAGAGGCAATAAGGTTGTAAGAAATTATTGTATGAGAGTGAAAAACGTCTTGTGCCGCTCTGCCCGAGAGGGGATACGAAACTGGAGACAAACGAGCTGGGTTCGCTTTCTGGTTTTGACCTTGTTCAAGCAGCTGCCTCCTCTCGAGGTCCTGTTCCCTTGTCTGCACTTGAGCCTGTTTCCCTCTGCCCCCGGGGGATGTTGTAGTTTCCAGACATAAAAAGCATCTGATACACTTTGAGAAAAACCTTCTAAAAGGGTGCAAACTAATAAAAATAGTGAATAGAGATGTATGCGCTTTTGAGGTTGAAAAAATTGAAATGCATCAGAAAGAGAAGGAGGTCCATGGCCACTTCAGGTTAGTGTTTTCCCTTGTCTTCTGTTTTTGTAGCAACCCAGTGATGTCCTAACTCTTCAGTACAAGCCTCTCTCTTTAAAAAACATCTCCTCCCTGCCGCTCAGCATTGTCCTGGCCTTAGAGCAACCCTTCCTAATCTGCGATGCAGACCGGCAGCCCCTGCCTGCAGACGTTCAGGTAAGCAGCCGTGGACCTTCCCGCTGGTGGGGTTTGAAGAGGGAGGAGTGTGGTGGTGTGTTTCTATTGGAAAGCCTTCCAGGAGAGATGTTTATTCTTTAGAGTCAGCAGTAGGTTGGCCTGAACTAAATCAGATTTGAAAGGAGGTGCTGAAGGAAACAATGTTGTCCGTCTGAATTGGGGAAATTCTGGCTCCCAGACATGAAGAGAAGGCAGCAGGTCTGGGCAAGCCGCGTAGTGAAGGTGTCTCTTGGAACCCATCCCAGCTCTCCAGCAGCCATCCTCAGATAACCTCAAAAGCCGCTTGCTCTCTTTGAGGGTAGCTCTGCCGTCAGGAAGGCTGAGGAGCCTTCCACCTGGCCCGTTGTTAGTGGAAGGGGTTGGACGTGGACTCTGCTAAAGACACGTTCTCGTAGGCACGGCCACAGCTTCTGTGCCGTGCCGGTGGTTAGCTCTTGCAAGGGTGAGGATGCGACGCCGTTGCGCTGGTGTTGAGTGTGAGGATGAAGGAGTCCCTCTAGAGTTGGGGCAGAAGGCTCTGGCTTGCCAGAGCGCTGATTTGGTTAGGTACTTCACATGCGGCTTTTGTGGGTCCAGGATTGAGTAGACCGGTGTTTATTTTGCTCTTGCATCGATGCTGAGCACAGAGGTGTGAGCCTGAGGGACTCCCAGAGTGTTGTGGTGCTCGCCGTCAGGCGCACGCTCTAAAGAAAGCGAAAGATGAACCGAGAAGCCCATGTTGGGGTCACACTTTGACCACTTACATGTTTTATGCCATCAGACCTTGGGACTTGCTCACGCTGGTGGTTAATACTCTTTATCTCCTTGCAGCCCATGAAGCTGGAGACGGGGGAGGAACTTCATCTCTCCATCAGATTTAACCCTGCTTATGAAGAGGATTTAAATATCTGGGTAGCAGAGAAGGCTCTGAAGATACAGTTTCTTGAGCACCCTCATGAGGAGCAGGTCACCGTTCGGGGAGAAGTCTACTTCCCGAATCTCCATATCCAGACCACGGCCTTGGACTTTGGCTGCATCTTGAATGACACCGAAGATGTGCGTTACGTCGAGATGACCAACTGTAGCCCGCTGCTTGTCCAGTACCACTGGTTGTTCCTGACGGACGGCCACGCGAGCCAGATGAGGTATGTGCACCTCTGCCCTCTCCTTGAAGTTCTTCCTCCTGATGTCCCGTTCGTCCTTTGCTAGGACCTGACAAATTGCTTTCAACTCTCCCTTGTGGAAATAACACCTACCAGCTGTGGTCAGGGAAGGTGCTCAGGGAATAGGTGATCTCCACCAGTTTGATGCTGGGATTTCCC